CGTTTCGTAATATCCGTTATTTCGTATTTCGTAATTCGTATCCGAAACTCAATTCGGATTTGTACGAAATACGGATTTTCGTTAGTTTCGGCACATTTTCGTAACTTTACCAACATTCGTTATGATGAAGTTAAAAACCAAAAATACCCTTGTTAATATTGGAGTCGATGTGGTCGTTGTTTTTGCATCCGAAATACGAATTCCGTTAACGGATTCCGGATCCGAATTTCGTATTTCGGACTTTAAAAAAAACCCATCAACTCCAATATAAATGTACTTTGTTTTTTACCTTCAATATAATGAATGTTCGTAACGGAGTTTCGTATTTCCTGCCTGTGTATTGTAATGCGACGCTCAGCAGCAGCCGATCCGTATTTCGGATTTAAAAAAAAATCTTGTCATGTTGTTCAACCTCATTTACGGGGGTAATATTAGTTCAAAGAAATTCGGATCCGAAATTCAGGAAAATTCGTACGAATTTCGATTCGTAATGAAACGAATCGCACATACTTTCTGGATCCGGTCTGTGGACTTCTAGCAATGTCAGCGCCATCACTGCTTCTCCATAGGACCGAAGACAAAGGTGCCGGAGGAGGAGCGCCGGCTCCCCCCCTTTTATTCTGACTGAATAGTGAAGCAGATTGTAGTCCATTTGGATCTACAATATAATCATACGGATAGTCCAGGCAGCTGGACCTGCTGTATTTTTCTTGAAGACGTTTCACCGGTCATCCGACCAGCTTTCTCCATTCACAATGACTTCTACAAACCATTCTCTGGGAATAAATATGGTGAATGTTGCTCCAATCCACAGAATCTGATAGTCACATCCAGGTGCTGATTGCATAATTGGAGCTAGGAGGTGTTATTAAATACAAAAAAACAAAAAGGTTTCTGTGAACAAATGCTGAGTGTTTGGTGCCACACCCCTAGAGTAGTCAAAAAAGGTGTGGGGCCACTTTTCTCTCTACACTTTTCTGGGAGGTGTTATTAACTTGCCCAGAGAGATGTCGGATGACCATTGAAACGTCTTCAAGAAAAATACAGGAAGTCCAGTTGCCTGTTTTTTTACAGCTATACCATGTGACCCGGAGGAAGAATCCTTCACAGACACAATCATACGGAGCTCTGTCATCATATGTTAGAACAGGTCATTGCCCTCCGACCTCCTCTCTTCCTGGGACCCTCATGAGGAATAATCCATTATAACCGAGACGTCTGACCCTCTTCATGTGTATGTCTCACTTGATTATATTTTTTGTTTCTGGTAAAACATCAGTAGGACAGGAGGTGAGGAGAAATGGGGTCACAGAGAGACCAGGCAGGCTTCCTGTTCTTCCACATTCCATCCAAAGCTGAGAAGAAACGTTCTGAGTCGCCCTCCAGGCGGATTTGTTGCTGTGACGTTGCAGTCAGCTTGTATATCGGGTGATGAATATGCTGCTTTTCAGGCTTTTCTAGTCGCTACATCCCGTAACAAGAGTCAAAATTCCCTGCGCTGGCATCACACAGAGCCCCCGGCTCTCCTATGATCTGACACAGAGCGCCCGGCTCTCCTATGATCTGACACAGAGCGGCCCGGCTCTCCTATGATCTGCTACAGAGCGGCCGGCACTCCTATGATCTGACACAGAGGGGCACGGCTCTCCTATGATCTGACACAGAGCGGCCCGGCTCTCCTATGATCTGCTACAGAGCGGCCGGCACTCCTATGATCTGACACAGAGGGGCACGGCTCTCCTATGATCTGACACAGAGCGGCCCGGCTCTCCTATGATCTGCTACAGAGCGGCCGGCACTCCTATGATCTGACACAGAGGGGCACGGCTCTCCTATGATCTGACACAGAGCGGCCCGGCTCTCCTATGATCTGCTACAGAGCGGCCGGCACTCCTATGATCTGACACAGAGGGGCACGGCTCTCCTATGATCTGACACAGAGCGGCCCGGCTCTCCTATGATCTGCTACAGAGCGGCCGGCACTCCTATGATCTGACACAGAGGGGCACGGCTCTCCTATGATCTGACACAGAGCGGCCCGGCTCTCCTATGATCTGCTACAGAGCGGCCGGCACTCCTATGATCTGACACAGAGGGGCACGGCTCTCCTATGATCTGACACAGAGCGGCCCGGCTCTCCTATGATCTGCTACAGAGCGGCCGGCACTCCTATGATCTGACACAGAGGGGCACGGCTCTCCTATGATCTGACACAGAGCGGCCCGGCTCTCCT